CATGTAAAGTGCCTTGCACTAGTTTAGCCTCGAGGTTATGAAGGCATAGATAGAGGTAGCCAAACTGGAATCTTAAAGACAGAGTTGCAGCCTTCCTACCACATGGAGTTGGTGAAAGGTGCTCCTAGTCATGGCCACCACCTAAAGATCCAGGTGCAGTAGAGGATCCAGAAACACCTCAAGGCTGTGAACCTGAGTGACAACAGGAGGCTGAATCCCATCGATTTGTAGGTGTCCCAGATCAAGCAGTATGCCCACCACCATCACCTCTTTTTTTGTCTGGATTTGGCTTCAACTGGCTCACCCACATCCAATCCCCAACTGCAACTAGGCACTGGGAAAGCACTGAGACTGGAGGGCCCAAATCAGATGAAAGAGAGTGTGGGGTGTCATCAGCAAATAGAGGGCACTACACTCCAGTTCTCTGCATGATCTTTCCCAGTGGCCTCATACGCATTGAACAGCAGGTGTGACAAGCTGGAGTCTCTGGGGCAACTCGCAGGAGAAATCCCAAGGGAACGATGAGTGCTTACAGCCCATCATCATGACCTCCCTGCTAGGAAGGAGTGGAACCAGTTTAGGTTAATCTTGTGAATACTCTCCAGGTCATGTAAATGCTTTAACCAGGATACAGTACCGAACCACCAAAGTCATAATGGATAGAACTGATATTTATAGTACTTGCAGAAAGGTCCGTAAAAACAGAGGATGTTTTCAGAGGGGCCCCACAGACTTCACTGCTTGAAAACTCTGCTGTAAATGCATGAATCCGAAATACGCGCACACATATTGCATATCCAAACAATTTAGTTAAAAAAGAACATTAAATTGAGGCTTGCCCCTTGAGAAGCATCTGTCAACTACATCTGCTCTGTAGTGTCTGAACCTTTGGTTTCAAAGTTTAAATGGGCTTTTGAGGAAGTGAAGATAATATATTTTTATATGTGTAAAGTGGGAATTGGCCTGAGTAGGAAGGGATATGATTGGTTTGCAGAGTGTGCAACGTTACAGCTGTGGAGCTGAAGAGGCTACAGGTGGAACTGACACAGAGCATTATGCCAACCCCTAAACATTTGAAGTCATGAGGGGAGGGATGGGGTATTTCAATAGACAATATTATCACAAGGTTTAATATGCACGCCGCTGCATCTTTTAAGAACGCTGATGTGCAGAATTCACTCAGAAGTCCAGTGAGCAATCTCAATTTAGAGAGGATTCTGTTTGTGGTCAGCTGGGAATTAAATAATAATAATTTTTTTAACTCTCTCTTAGATGGCCACACTTGGTGAAGCCCGTCTGAAGGAGATGGAAGCACTTCGTTGTCTGAGAGCAGCAAATGAAGGGAAAGTGCTAGCTACTGAAGAGGATGGAGAGATGAAAGTTTGCCTGTGCCAGAAAGAGCCAGTTGCCCCCATGATACAGTGTGAACTCTGTAGAGGGTTCTTTCACACCAGCTGTGTTTCAGCACCCAGCATTTTGCAGGGACCCCATGTGTGGCTCTGTCCTCACTGCCATAGATCAGAAAAGCCACCGTTAGAAAAAATCCTACCTTTGCTGGCCTCCCTGCAGCGTATCAGAGTGAGGCTTCCTGAAGGAGATGCTTTACGGTATATGATAGAGAGAACTGTGAACTGGCAGCATAGAGCGCAACAAATGCTATATTCAGGGAATCTAAAACACATACAAGACAAAGTTGGCTCAGGACTATTGTACAGCAGATGGCAAACCACAGCAGGCCAGCTGCCAGAGACAAACAAGGTAAGACTGAGCTACTTGCAGCTTCCCTGCTTGGAGGTGGAGTATGCATTTAAAGAGCAGTTTGCAAACCTTTTTGCATTTTGTGGGTTCTATTTGAGACATCTTGATCATAAACTCATCCAGCGTCTGCACACACATTCTAGTGGGGCAGGCTCACTCTTAAGTCTTAGTTTTTCCACAGCTGTGAGGAAATAGCATTTTGGCTCGTCATGTATTTACTGTGCATGTACTCTTTATATTCTCCAGCAGCAACTTGGAATGCTGCATTCCTTCCCTGCTATGACTCTAAGAATACTCTATCTTTCTTATTGTTATATCTGGTGGGCTTCCCTTCTCTTCTGCTGTATTCTGCCTCCTGTTGGCACTGCTGTGTAGAACTGGAGGGAACTGAAAGATTGTCTCATTTAGGACCGACTCAAGAACAGAATCGTGGGCCTCCCTAGAAACAGATACTAAGTAAAGAATTTAAAGATTTCTTTAAGTAAAACCTTACCTGCAAGCAACTGGTAACAAAGTAAAGAAATCTTCCATCCCGTTCAGTCTGTTTAACCTTTGCTCCTGGGAAGTATTGTTCTTGAAGTTCTCACTGTGGTGTGTTAACTGCCCATTGTCTTCATCCTTTATAACTAAACCTCCAAAAGTTCTCTGATGTTTAAAACCACTGTATGAATCGACTTATATTGGGTGCTTTGGGTGGAATATATTGCCTTGTTAATAGAGTTTATAACCCTATTTCCTGAGCTTGGAGAATGAGGATCACTTTTACAAAGCAGAGTAAAAGCGTTTAGCCAAGATTCACTTTTGTAGATGTAAGATTTGTTTTTTCAGAGGCCTTGAACGCACATTCATTTGTGTCATTCCAATGTAGTGTATCCAGAGAGATTTAAGTACATTAATGGTAATGTATTTTTAGAGTTGAAGGCGAGAGAAAAACATTGCGATCCTTTTAGCTTGAATCAGACCCATCTTACAAAGCCCAGTGCAGAGGGGAATGTCAGAAATATGCTCTGACACGACAGTTATCATAGAAAATGCTTCTCTGTTTAAATTTCCTGTTAAAAGTGGTCTGCAAAGGAGGCAAACTGTGCTTACACATTTTTCTGGTTTGCTTTTTTGCTTTGCCTAGAGGGAGGGCCTGTTCCCACCCTCTCTCCCTCCCATAGTTAGGCTTTATAACTCACAGTAACCATGTTTAAAAGTCTCAAAGTATTTGCCTGGAGTCTAAAGAATGTAGTTTTAACAGAGTTTAAAACAATCTGTCTGAAAAATAATCCTAAAGAAATTAAGATCAGGGTCCATACTCATTTCATAGTGTGTATGTGTGTGTGTATATATATATATATGTATATATATATATATGTATGTATATATGTGTGTGTGTGTGTGTGTGTATATA